TTTAAATTATCTCCACTACTTCTACAATAGAAAGCCTCAAGGGTTACTAAGATAGAGAAGGACATCGCTCGGTAAGCGAAATTGGGCTGCAAAGGACCCACCTGTATGCCAGTCACTAGTGGATCAATCTCTAATGGCCCTCTCCCAAGGGCTCAGTGGCGAGAGCAAACAAAAGGGGGGAATGGACAACCTTGTCTAAATGCCCCGACTCACTCGTGAATGCAGAGGGGATCTCATGACATTTGTAATAAACGAGGCGACGAGGGGCGTCATATAGAAGCGATATCCATTTATTAAAATATCACCCAAAGTTAAATTTAGAGAGAACATGTAATAAATCTGGCCCACCCATTCTCTCTTTTAATTTTGAATGTTTGCTGTCAATCCAAATGACTCTCTTGGATTCAGCGCTATTTTGGTCGATCCCCGCTCCTCCTTTGCCATGTGTTGAAGGTATCCTTGCGCAAGAACCTGAAGCCCAAAATTGTGTATGAATGAGTTAGTTTCGTGTTCGATGGACTTTGCCATCGCTTTTGTGAATGTGTGTGAAAGGATGAAAGTGCATGTAGTGTAAATGTGCTTGAGTTGTCAGAAGACTAGAAAGGCGCTATACAAATACAGGTCCATTTACAATTTACCATTTACCTTGTCCCTCCTCAACAACCTAGCACTCCCAGAGTTCACTAAAGTTCCTGTCGACCAGGTCGGCGTGTCAGGGGGGCGAGATCTCATTTGGTGCCAGGCCGACAGCAACCCCAAGCCGAGGATAACTGGGGGAAGAGAGGCATGAAGATCAGCTTCCAGCATTTTGAGGTAGGTCAATGAAATGAGCACTGCTGCACTCTCAGGGAGAGGAGGGCAACTTTATTGTTACTGTACTGTACTATGTCACTGTAATGTAGGAATATCCGATATCTCACAGTAGGATATGAGTTTTTAAACAGGTTTTGAAAGTGTTGATGTCTACGAAATGTTAGTGATATAGTTGCATCGAGCAGTGAGATTGCAGACTGCAACCAACTGAAACCATTGCCTCAACTAAACATGTGGGAGAAGCTATGGTGGCCACAAAAAATGTGAAGGCCCTATATAGAGCCAGTGTCTGGTTTGTCCATTCTAGGCTACTGTAGATACATCGTGGTTCAACATGGCAGGTGGAAGATGATTGGTGGAAGAGGTCCATTCCTTTTGTTGATATAAAGAGCTCATTTGAATTTAATAAAAACACAGGGGGAATCAGGTGATTAATGGAAATGGATATTGTGTTCCTTTTCTGCCATATTCTGCCAGTAGATCCCCCCGAAATCTGATTGGCCAAAGTCAAGACAAGAGATTAGTCTAGTTTTCTCTCCGACCACTTGAATTACAATATGCTGAAAAGTGATTATCGAACTGTAACACTACCTATCACTTTAAAACTATTATTAGTATTGCTAGTACAATCCCACATCTGTCTAACCTAACCTTATGACTCTCTATCCTACAGATCATTGAGTTTGATGAAGGTGCCGGCTCCGTACTCAGAATCCAGCGTCTCCGAGCGCCACGTGATGATGCCATCTATGAATGCGTTGCTGAGAACACAGAGGGCAATGTCTCTGTCAGTGCTAGGCTGTCAGTCATCCAAGGTGAATCTTGCATTGTTAAACAGCCTCGAGTGGGAATGCAGTCCAAGTACCTGGCTAAAGGATTGTTTCTCGGACCAGTAGACTGCTAGCTCTTTTAAAATCTAGGATCTTTAACATTTTCTGAGAAAGACGAATAGCAAGCACAATGCTTGCTATTCTTGGTTGCCTTCCTAAACCTCTTTAATGCCTCAACGCAATCCTCTGGGAGAGCCACATTCTTAATTCATTCACAGACACACAATCAAAAAGAGCAGGTAAAAGACAAAGGCAGGAAGTAAAACACCACAAGAGGCGAAAAACTACTAAATAAAAGAGGAAATATCACATGATAGGCTTACTAGACAATAAAATTAACACTCATGTTTATGACAGACATGACATTTACATGTTTATTCAAACCTTCTATCCTCAGTTGGTTTATTATGTGGCTACTGTATATGGCTGGCTATGATTTAACACTCCTGAGGTCCTGAGGTTACAGAATAAAAACTGATATTACACACTACACAGTTAGCAATTGTTCTAAAATGTCACACCAAGGAAAATCCTACATAAATATACAGCTAAAAATACAGTTTGCAAATGTTCTTTAAAGTGAGTGAAAAAAGACCAGATATTGTGATGACCACAACTGCAAAAAGGTGTCTGTATGACTCAGTCACTGCAGTATAACCATTTATTGTGTCTTAAATCACTCTTGTGTTTTCCTTTTTTTCTGTTCTTGTCACAGAGGATCGACTCCCGTCAGGCTTCCCTAACATTGACACTGGCCCTCAACTCAGGATGGTGGAGCGCAATCGAACAGCCACTATGCTCTGTTCTGCCAGTGGCAACCCTGGCCCAGAAATCACCTGGTACAAAGACTTCCTGCCCATTGACCCCAGTGCAAGTAATGGGCGGATAAAACAGCTACGTTCAGGTACAGGAAGCCCAAGGATTATATTGCTACCTCTTCCCCTCTCATTAACTTGAGCATTGATAATTAACTGGTAATAGTCAACATGGTTGTGTTTGTGCTTGGCACTGGGCTGCAGTACCCAGTCTTTTTTTCTTACACAATGTTAGATTAATGTCAGACGTGTGATTGAGAACACTTTAGCTTTCCAACAGATTAATAAATCCAACTTGGAAACACATGTAATTGTTTGATAAGGATCAAATCACGTACTGCAATATTGACTGAAACAACAGAATATGTTGTAATTAAAACATTTTAGGAACCAAAAACTATCCTTTGTTTTTAGGTTAATAACAATATAATATATTTTTTTCATTATAAATTTGCACCTGTTTTAGGGGCACCACCAGCAAAAAGCTATGCAAAAGAAAATTAAATCTCACTCAGTTTACAGTTCTCCATTACCTTTGTGCACACTTTCATCATTACTTTCTTCACATTACACTTTTAAATAAAGATCATGTCTTACACGAGTTGCACCACCTTTACACCAACATATCAACCAACAAATTTATTGTGACTGATTCAGTCATCATTTCTATTTATTTAATTCCTCCTCTTTTTATCTGTGGATGGCTGAGGCTGCAGAAGAACCCATTTTGTCATGACAATCTGAATTGGCATTGCAGAGAGAAACAAGTCTTGACAAAATGATGCTGAGAAATTTCAAGATACCATCCATTAAGAAAATCTTCTGACTCCTTTAAGCATCGACCCTGACACATCAACTAATTATTTCCTCCTTGCTTCCTTTCCCTCTCACTTTTTCTCTCTCTTCCCCCTCCTTACATATCTTTGTTGCATGTTGTCATTTTCCAGGTGCCTTGCAGATCGACAACAGCGAGGATGCCGACCAGGGGAAGTACGAGTGTGTGGCGTCTAATATGAAAGGCGTGCGCTACTCTGTCCCTGCTAACCTTTATGTGCGAGGTAGGGAGCAACCTGGCCACAGAGACAGCACAAAAAATAATAACATCTGCCCCTCGTCACTAAAGTTGCTGCTGGGTAGTTAACATGCAGAGAGGATGAAACGGTTTCACAGAGCCAACCAAGGGCAGATGTTGAGAAATATTAATAGAAAAGGTTGAGTGGGGAAATATTTGCAAATTTATTTGCAAACAATCACATATATTTGCTTGGAAAATCCTCCAAATGATTGATTACAAATATCTAAAGTTGGCACCAGTAAATTGTTTTATTTCTTAATCTTTAATCTGACTTTTCCAAATACATCTTTTGCCTCTGAATTTAAGCCTGCTATTTTGTCTAACATGTGGCCATAACGGAACATTAAATTATATGTGCAAATATTTGTTTGCAGTTCCTTCATGCTA